CACACACACACACACACACACAGACGGTGGATCAGCTTCATCCCTACCTTTCATTATCATCACTCCTCCACTCGTCTCAGATGTTTGGCCCACTTTCACAGAGTCACTCTTCCTCTCTCTTTGTCTTACAACACTCTACTTTTTTTTTTGTATCACACACACACACACACAGAGACACACACACCTTTTGCACCACCTACTCTTTCACCCTTTCTTTGTTTTTTTGGCCGTCCTTTGTCGAGCAAGGTCTGTCGCTCTGTGCAGCTTCGGCAAACATCTTCAGACTTTTGAACGCCAGTCACCGCCTCACCTTGGTTGTGTGCGTGTGTGTGTGCGTGTGTGTGTGTGCGTGTGCGTATGTGTGTGAAAAAAAGAGAGAGAAAGAGACAGAGGGAGAGGGAGAGAGGGAAGAAAGCAGGGGACTGTCCCTTGACATGACTCTTGTCTTGGTACTTTTCTTTCTTACATTTGTTGTTGTCTTCATCAACCCCCCCCCACTCAACAGTTTATGTCAAAAATGTGGATTCGTAATGTCTGACACGTCTGAGAATTTAAGTGTAACCACTTTCAACAGCTCTTTGAACCTCCGGGCAGGAAAAGGTTTAAGATAAGAGCTTACAGTATGGTGAGAAAAAAAAAAAAAAAAACTACGGTTCATGATTTATGTTAAAACCTACGAATGACCACATTAGGGCGGATGTCTGTGGCAGCAGCAGAAAATGTACTCTGTTCTGCTGTACGCTCCACAGCACGGCAGTGAAAGTAAAGTCTGGTGAAAGTAAAAATGTCCGCAGTAACAGTGCTGTACATATGAGTTCTCCTTTATTCGTTTCATCATTCATTGACTGGTCCATGTGACAGACCAGGGCGGACAAAGAGGGGGACACTAAGACAGTTCATAGTTTTGACCCGAGCACCTCACGCTGTACGCTGTCAAACTCGAGGCCCGCTGGCCAAATGCGGCCCGCCCAGTCATTTAGTTTGGCCCGCTGGAGGTTCAGAAGCATTTAGTTGACTGATAACAAAGTCTACGCTGCTTCACTATGTTCAATTACAACTACAACAATGCATGTCGTTACTGAAGAGACATGTATGGTGTGTTCAAGGATCAGCAGCATCACCTCATCAACTACACCCTGGTTCATGAAGTTCTGAACTTAGATATCTGGGGGGTTTTTTTGGGCAGTTGTTTTGTGTGAACTCACTAGCGCCACAGTGTGATGACAGTGATTCACGGAAACTACTGAATCTTGACCTGGACGTGTGGTTGTGATCAGTTCTATAAAAACAATCTGAAGTACACGGGAAAAAAATGAACACAGACAAAACAATCTTTGGTCAGAAAGTCCAGTATTTCAAGGCCTGACACAAAAATAAAAATATGATTCTCTGCTGAGAACCAGACAGGAAACATGTGCACGGTCGATTTTTCCAATATTTAAATGGAAACTTTTCTTTGAAGAATTCTTGTGAGAGATCAAGAATTTTGTCATAATAATTTTTTTTTAACATTAACCTAATAATTACCATGACATTTACTACGACCTAACGCAGTCTCATTCACAACAACATTTGTCTTTGGTGTGTGTCTCTCACACACACACGCGCGCACACACACATACACACCAACGCCCAGGTGTGTGAGATGTGGCAGAAAGTGTTAAACCAAACAAGTTAAAAAAAGGTGCAGTCTTATCAATACCATCTGCAGTCACAATGCCAAAGCTGTAGCAGTTGGTTGGTGTGTGTGTGCGTGTGTGTGTGTGTTTGAGGAAAGAAGGGAAGGAAGGAGTACAGGTGCATCACAACACACTGTGCTGCTGCTGCTAATAGCCCAACTTTACTGTGTGTGTGTGTGTGTGTTGACAGGTGTGTGTTGAATGCTAACATAGGCAGACGTTAACCACGATGCATGCACAAATATCTAGCACAAACCTAGGCAATGGCATTCTGACACACACACACACACACACACACACACATACATGTCTAGCAGTATGTGACTCATGAACAGGATATCAGATTAAAAAAGAGAACTTACTCAAGTGAGTTTTCTTGGACCAGGCTCCTCCTGGGGACCAGAGAAAAGACGCAGTTAGAGAATGAACGTAGAGGAAAATGTCACTGCTTCAGACCTGGGCTTCACTGTTGTACTCACAGGTTGTTAGTGTCCAATTCATATTAGGACAAACACCAGCTTATAATAACTAGGGCTGTAAGAAAATATCGATACGCCGATGAATCGTAATATTTCGTTTCACGATACTGTATCGATTTTCTACAGCACTGTATTGATCTTTTTTAAATGACCAATTAACATGCAGATATTCATTTTATATTGCTTTTATTTCTTCAATAGAGATCACAAATGTTGGCTGATAAAATCAATAAACAGACGTAAGTATTCGTGGACCTGAAGAATAAAATGGTGATTGTATATTTATATGTTTTTAATTTGTGTATTTGTCGCCTGTCTACTACATTCACAGATTAGTACAAACTCACAGTACAATTACAGGAGTTCTATTCTACTTTTAAAGCCTGAACACTTGGCGCTGAACCCCGTCACTCGGTCTACTGTGGGCTGACGACACACTGTGCCACTGTACCACGACCGTCGCAGCTTTGGTGTCTGTGCTTGCACAAGATGAGTCGATGGCACAGAAGGTGGAGGGTGAGAAAAGTCTGTGTCACACAATTATTTTATTCCTCATTTTGTCTGTAATTAATAAGTAAAATGAACACAGTGAAGTAAAAACGTGTGGATTTTGTTTTCAGGAGAGTTTTGGCCAAAAGAAATTCAAAAACAAGGATTCCAGCTGGACAATTTCTTAAAACTTGTTTTTCTTACATATAAATAATCTGACTGAAAATATCTTACAGTTATATATATATATATATATATATATAAAGTAATATTGTTGTTATGGATGCTTTTTTAAGTGAATTTGTTCAGTGAAAGACAAGTTTGCTTTTAAGGCTTGTTCAAAAAACAATAACTGTAGTCACTTAATTTTGAAAAATTAATATTTGACTACATGGGTAAAATATTATTTTATATTGTATTTAACATTTAAATGAAATAAATACCCATGATTTATATAACTTTTTTTTCAGTAATTACTCATAGTGTAATTAGTTAAACATAACAGATGAAACATGAAGTCCTGGGTTTTTGGGTCTTTTTTTATAGCATTTTTAGTAAAAAAAAAACTATTAACATATTATACAGCATTTGCATGTACACACCTAAGTTATGGACATGTATAAATTTAAATATATAATATAATATATTTATATTAAAATGTATATTGAGAGAAAAAAGCGAGAGAGATATTTACAATATATATGTATATATGTACACGTGTTACATTATATAAATGTACTTTGTCAGTCGCTCTGTGCCTGTGATGAACAATGATGACAAAGCTGAATCTAATCTTATCTTAATTCATGCAAACAGCAGCAGAGAGATGATTATTATTCACAGTCTGTGTTCATCAACGTTCTGCTTGAACAAACAGATACAAACAGAGATAAAGGCAGAGGAAAGTGGTGTCTGTGAAAGTGGGTGTCTGTGAAACAACAGTCCTCCTGTTTTCATCTGCCTGTCTGACCACACTGGGTGAGAACGTCTGAGCTGCAGTGAATTCGGAGCGTCGGCCGTTGAACAGAACTGGGATTTTATTTCTAGACCCGTCAGCGAGACGGAGGTGTTGGATGGCAGTAGTGATAAGTTTCAGTGGAAGATGCAAAATTCGCCAGAGTCTCTGTCTGTCGCCTAAACAGGCCCTCTGTGGTTTCCACTGTTTTCCTCCTCACATCAAATCAGTTTTTGCTGCCTAAGCAGAAAGCATGGAATGAAAGCAGAGCAGCGTGTGTGTGTGTGTGTGCGTACAAAACTTTCAGCACACACACAGGCACTCACGGAAAAAAAAAACAAAACAGAAATTTCAGAACGGAACAGGTGAATGTTTAAAGAAATTTCTCAGGGAAAGTGGAAAATTTTAATGAATAACTGCTGATTTTTAAGAAAATAAAATCGATATCTTTACTAACTTTTTAGTGAGAATTGTTTGATTCTTTTTCTTTCAGAATTTTCATTAACATTAATGTCAACTTATTTAATTGTATAGTTAGAACAGGTTTCTGCATTTAATAAAAGCAGATTTATTTATTACCTATTAAGTCAAACAACAAAAATAATAACATGGATTCTATAAGTTTAACTGAAACTTTTTATATCCTTTCATATAACTGAAAAATCCAATTTTTTTGTTTACGTTTCTCTACTAATTACTTCATTTTTCTAATGACAGCATAGAGATATAGAACTTCTGATAACCCAGAGAAAATCAGCAAAAAAAATAACCAAAATGCTCAAAGTTAGCAGAAAAATAATAAGAAAAGAAGTTTTAATAAATGATCTTATAGTTAAGCTGTTTTTTATCTTCTATTTTTCTTCGACTTCTTCGACGGCTGTTGTTTCACTAGGGTTTTATTTCACCAGCTGTTTTTTATCTTTGACTTCTTCTGTTGTTTCACTAGGGTTTTATTTCACTTTAAGTTTTATTTTATGTTATAATTTGTATGATATATATTATATTTAACACAACCCAACACTGTGTGTGAAATATGTAAAGTAAAAAAAGGTACATTTTATTAATTAGGTGATTTTAAAACACAAACACACAAAGTCATCCTCTATAATCAACATCGACTTTAACCAGAACATAAGAAC